AAGTTCAGTACAGAAGTCCTCAAGGAAAAACATCTTGATGCATGATTATGGAAGGCAAAAGTTCTAGAGTCAACAATATAAATTCTCTAGAGTAGTTAAATTTGTAGACATGGAAGGTAGAATGTAAGAGGAATAAACCAAGAATTATAAAGACATAATTTGTTTTGCAAGATCCACTGGTACTGCCATTACTTATACAACAATGTAGATAAATGTATTGTTTTAACTTTAGCACAGTCGCTGCTCCTCAATCTACTTCTTTTACATCCAGCAGAGGCAATTCACAGTTACCTTCCTGCTTCTATGTCGGTAGCCCAGACACTCAGGGCACAGCCTGCAGGAATTCTGTTCCCACAGGCACTGGCTCTGACACTGCTTTTAAAGGTAGCATTAACTACATTTCTATCATTCTATTTAGAAATAAAACAGGAGGATATCAATATGCATAATATAGATACAGATTATATATTAATATAATTGTGTGTGATGTGAAATCCTGCTAGCTCAGGGAGGTTGAGTAGCAACTAGCTAACCTTCCCTCACAGATGGAATCTTCCAAAAGCTACTTTACTGCAACAAAAAAAGCCAAACAACTCAAAACTCCTCTCAAATACGTCTGGTACATCTTTCTATCTATTAGAGATGCCCGCTGATGATCTACTATTACTTTTTGTCAACTAGTTATTAACTCAGCCTCCTGACCTAAGGTTAATTTTATTTAATTAACACAAATGCAGACTTGGGATTCAGAGTATGGTCAAATATCCCTCAAAATATCTTTAGAATTAGATCAAATAAGAGTCATGATTAGCAGTTCATATCATTAATCAAAATGCTTAAGAGACTGAGGCAAGACTGTTGAAAACTCAAGATGATCATAGACTCAAATTTGCCCTAACACAAAATCATCATAGTTTTTGAGATCTTATGTACATTATATGAAATTTATTTCCATTTAATTCTTTTATATATACAGTAGTGCCAATGTTGGACATTTATATCTCTCTCTCAGGAGAAGGAACAATGCTGGCCCTAATAAAGGACCTAGAGTTCCAAATTCATTTCACTTTGTGGCAGTGGTGAGCTCAGATGAGGCTCACAGACTCTGCAGTGGCTCCCATGAGAATCGCCTTTGCACCCCAGGGAGGGAACTGGAGAAGGAAGGGGACATTGTCTCTACAAGCTTTGTCCCAAAGATGAAACACCATGTCTGCTAAATGTTTTAGATCTCTCACATTTTCTCTGTAAGGAATCTAGGAAATGTCTTCTTTAGCTAAGAAGCAGGTAAACAGCTGAGTCTCTACTGCTCTAAGATAGTGAAGATACTGAGAGGAAGCGTCTACCATATGCTATCATGATTATACCAATTTATGTAAATTTCAAAACTTAATGGAGCCTCCCGTTTCCTTGAAGAAAAAGTCCAGGCTGAAATTGACAGAGTGATTGGCCAGGAGAAGCAGCCCAGCCTGACTGACCGAGACGCCATGCCCTACACCAATGCTGTTGTCCATGAGGTGCAGAGAATGGCAAATATCGTTCCTCTAAATGTTCCCAGGGAAGTGACAGTGGACACAACACTGGCGGGATTCCACCTGCCCAAGGTAAGTAGGCTAAGGAATGGAAGTCTGCTAAACACCAACCCTTTGTGTGTCTAGTCCATGCGTTATTTGAGCCTTTGTTGCCTTCCCTAGGGCTCCATACTCCAGACCAATTTGACTGCCCTGCACAGGGACCCCAACGAATGGGCCACCCCAGATGTCTTCAATCCGGAGCACTTTTTGGAGAATGGAGAGTTTAGGAAGAGAGAATCTTTTCTGCCTTTCTCAATGGGTGAGTTGTGATGAGCAGGAGGGGGTTCAGTGCTTCACCTTATCCCTTCTCTTCTTTCTGGAATCCTTACAGATGGGCCTTCCCATATAGCTCCATTTTGACGTTGGTTTCAGTCCAATACCCACATATATTATACCCATATACAGTGTCAATTCTTCCTTCCTTCTGATGGAGATTTCAACTTTCTTTGTTATGTTTTCTACATCACTGACAACACAGATGTAATGCCTGCCTCTTCCTGAAAGCAAGAAAGCTGAATTCCATTGTGTAGACATTTTTTTTGGGGGGGGAGCGTGATTTCGAGACAGGGTATTTATAGTCACTTTTCTTTTTAAGGGATGGTTCCTGACAATGAAGAGAGCAGAGCTCGGTATTTTTAGTTGTTAGATAGTTTTAACTGGCATTTTGATGTGAATAGGCTTTTATACCATGAACAACCCCTGAATAGGGCTTATCTTTCTCAAATGAACCTACTTTGTTAAATGTAGTTAGTACTTGCACCTCCTACACCACCTGACATGCAGAAAAGGAAATGCAGTGATGACTTTCTTCCCTGTGCTTTCTGCCAGGCAAGTTATTGAAGACTGCATTGGCAATGGTGTGGAATCAATAACCAAATATTCTAGATATTCACTTATATATGTAATTTGCCAATTCTTTAATTTCATAATTGTCTTATAAGCTTTAACCTAAAAAACAAACAACCAGAGAGCAGGAAAGTGTGGGACAGAAGATGAAGCAGTGCTGCCCATGGGAGCATGCATCCCACTGCCGCCTTCCAAGCTGCAGTCAGTGAGCACTGCAGAGATAAGGACACTGCCCTAGACAAATGTGCTTCTCCCAGAGCACAGTGTCCACCAGGTTTTCTCACACAGAACCTTGTGTTTCCTAACACTGTCTGCAGGAGGTGACTAAATGCTGCACAGAAGGCACACTGGAATGCTTGATATGATCATTAAGTTTGCCTGATTATCTAAGGCAGTGTTGTTTCTCATGATGTGGAGGCTCGGACCAGGAGGAGACTGCTTTTGCCTGCACAGCTTAGTGTTGATCTAGAGCCGGTGTTTCTTGGGGCTGGGCTGTCCTAGGTTTGTTCTGACCTCTTTGTTTTTCCGTCTGGGACTGTCTGTCCCTCTTCTCACTGTCCATAACTCACTTTAAAGGAGAGCTGATAAGACACAGAGACTCTGTCCATTCTTCCTGTTTATAAAAATTATAATATAATATGTAATATAAAATTATAAAAACAAAACCTCAGATACATATTTCACTTATTCAACTTCTCTAAGTCAATGAATCAGGTCAATGAAATACTGAAAGGCTAGGAATTTTTTTCCTTTTTGTATTTCAAATAAATGCCTTGTGTGATAATTCTTAGGACTTTGATGAGAAGAATGAGAATAGACCCCAACATGCCTTCCCCAGGAAGATGTTCCTCCAGGCCCATTGCTTCCCCTCACTATAGTGCAAAACCTACTTCCTATAGAGGCCTCTTGCTTCAGTCAGTTTAAAGAATTCTTTCACCTATACCAGTTGTAAAATAAAGTAGCAACACAGAGAGACCCACAGGTGCTGTTATTAAGAATGTTATCACTTACTCTAAATTACACATCTCATTTAGCAGGCCAATTGTGTCAGATAATCACCACAGCAATACGGTTATTAATACTCAGCAAGAAAATGAATAAATGTTTACTTTCGCCCTATAAGCAGACTCCATAAAGGAGAGAAAAGAGTTCTTTCCTATTCAAGATCACAGTTCCCAAGAACTGACAGAGCAGGGTCTTATGCTCTTATTTGTAGTTTAGTTCTCTTTGTGATACATCCAGACCATTGCTTGTCCCCTGAGTTATGGCAGTTACACCCATTTTCACACAGTTATATTATCCACACAGCTACAACCTTCGCAATTCTTCGTCTTCACATCGTTACACTCTCGGCACAGCCAATACTTCTTCCCTCACATACATCTTTCCTGTGCACACATCTCTCTTTTATACAGCGACATCTTTTCTCCTCTCTCTCTCTCTCTCCAATAAGTGTGCACACAACATACTTCTCTCACATTTCTTCTATTTCTTCCACACTTCTCTCTCTCTCATCCTCTCTCTGCTCATATGCACACACACACACACTCACACACGCACACACACACGCACGCACTTCTCTTACATCCCTCTCATTTCTCCCACACTTCTCTCTCACGCATTTAGACACATCTCACATATCTCTCCCACTCACCTTACAGCAAAGCCTCTGGACAAACATGAGTCACATTTTCTGGGTTACACAGCACTTCCTGAGTAAACAACAACAACAAAAAAAACAGAACCATACTGATCACACAGTTTCTTTCAGGGTACAGAGGTCATGCTGACTGTGCATGATGAGTAAAGTCAGCTTTGAGTGGTCAGGGTTCCCAGAAAGATAGAGAGATTGAAATTCAGGACTTAACAAACAGTTAGTTGGCTTAACCTTGAGGTTGCAAATACATAGAGAAGTCCTTTGCTGAAAAAGTTCTGTCTACTAAAGTTGTTTCATGCCTGATCTTGAAACAGCAATAAATACCTGGGAAATTGTTCTTGCATATTCATCCCTAGGGGCTACCAGATATTGATATCTAGAAACAACCAGATTGTTTCAATATGTCCTGAAGTTTAAAATTAGCTGTTGTTGAGACTGAGGACACTATTACACTCCTATGTAGGTCTGAGTAATGTGAAGTATCCTATATGCCCAGTAAATTGAATATTTTCATGAGATAAACACACAAGCAGTGGGGAAGATACCCATAGCTGACACATGAGAAAAACTACAGACAAAATCAACCAGTCATCAACAGCCAGTGACCCCATGGTCTTTTCCAAGCGGGGCTTCCCATCAGAGAGTTATTAGGTCAACCTGTTAAATACTAGCTGTCATCATCTGTGATATGTATATCATCGCCTGCGACACCTCTCATTGCTGTAGTCCCACTGAAGACCTTTGATCCTGGAGTTCTAATTTCAGTGGAACATTCCACATTCAGACACATATGAGACATAAATAAACAGCTGGACACAAAGCCAGGTGACAGGTTAAGATTTACAGAAGGAAAATGGAAATGCCAGTTCCTGAAGGTATTAATGCCAACTAAGAAAGTATCTCGTCTTCTGATTCATTTCCTGCAGGAAAGCGAGCTTGCCTCGGAGAACAATTGGCCAGGTCTGAGCTCTTTATTTTCTTCACTGCTCTTGTGCAAAAATTTACTTTCAAGCCGCCAGTCAATGAGAAGCTGAGCCTGAAGTCTAGATTTGGCATGACCATTTCCCCAGTCAGTCATCATCTCTGCGCTGTCCCTAGACTGTGAAGTCAGGCAGAAAGAGAAAAAAGAACAACTGAGAAATCCTTTGAGCCACTGGGGCCATCATATGTGAAGGGAGAGAAGGAAGGTGACCAGGGAAGGATGGGAAGATTAGGGTACAGTTATTGGATCCATGTCCTAGACTGCTGTATCCTGTAAATTGGTGGTGGATACGTCACTTATAAATTGTTTCTTGTGAAAGTGATACAGAGATCTTTCCTCCATAATAGTCTGCGGAGGCTTGCTGTGAATAAAACTGAAAACCAACTATGTCTGTAAGACTATGCTATGATGTCATTTCCCTGACTCTAAGTGGAATCTCCAAAACTAAAGAGAGCACAGGCTGTCCTTAAAATTTAAGGTGTTTGTGCCTAAGATGAGATCAAATTTTACTTGGGCAAAAGACCTGCTTCTGTTCTCAGAGTGGATACATATTTCCCAAAATGATTCATATATACTCAAATGCTCCACAGTGCCAGTTTATGCCAATAAATTTATAGTGTGGCTTAGTTCTACAATCTGGAATAAGTAATTTATTAGATATTGCTCCATGGAGTGGCAAGAGACTTATTCATATGTTCACCCAGGCATACAGTTAATTTTTTACTCAAAACAGAGCTGAAAATTACTTGTGAAATGAAGGGTATCAAGGAAAAGCACATACTGAAAAATCTCTGTTCTGCACTATGATGGATTCTTAAAAGAAATCCCACATTAGTTCAGAATTGAGAAATAGATGGTTATTTATTTAGGGGTAGACTTGCAAATCAGAATCCTCTGTTTGAAGAGAGATCAGAAAACAAATCCCACAACCAGAACAGAGAGGCCAGAAAAGTGGCCGGACTCATGCTCTACATTGGCATAAATAGTATAAGAGGCCACGCCCCAGTGAGCCCGTAACCACTAGCTTTAAGACTTCCTATAGTGCCTCCCCCTTTTGTTTGAATAAGAGAGTGCTAAGCCTAATACAAAATTATATACAATAAGAACAAATATATTCAAATATTATCCTATCCTAACTAGTTTAACTCATATAATAAATAACTTGGCCAAGTCATGAGAGGAAAGTAACTACAACTATCTAGTCTTCAACCCTATCAAAGATCCAAGAAGGGAAGTAATATTACTTCAGTAAGCAGGAAACACAATCAAGCAACTTCCAAAAATGTGCAACAAATGACAGCGACACTGGCTACCTGGGAAACCACCCAAAGTCTCATTTGCAACATTGAAGCAACCAAATTTGGCTAAGGCTTAGAATAACTGACATATTATTTTCAGAGGCAAGAAATTTTTCAAAACCTTCATATCTTGTCTTGGCAAGATTTGATCCTGCTTATTCATTCCTGGATATCCTGTATTTTGTCAGTGGTTGAGGCATGGGCATTTCTTTGCTCTAAGGCCAGTTTTGCCAAGAAGAAAACAAGCTCCAAGTGGAATGTCTTTGGTGTTCAACATTCTCTCAGGAATAGATCAGTGCTGCCAAGAGCAATTGTGTCTCACTTCAACAGAACCCTAAGTTGTTTAAATGCCCTATTCTACAACTCTTTGAAGTGGTTGAAGATTACCTATCTATGCAGAATAAAATCTCTTTGTAACCGATGACCCTGATTAGTCTAACTATAAGTATGACAAAGATAGATTACTATTGATCTATAATCCTTAATACCTCTATAACTTAAAGACTAAGACTTCATATTAGAATATTATAAAATAAACAATTGTGCACAAATGAGGACAATGTACCATGTTACCACATGAGCCACAAAATTTGGGAGTAGTTGATTATGACTCCTCATGGAAATGTCTACCTATGCATCAGTACCTTTTTTAATGTTCATAGAAAGTATATAAACTTAGTCTCCCTCCCTTTCAAGAATTATACAAAGAGCTTGTGATTGCTCCTTACAACTGTCATTCCTCATTGATTCTAGATGCCCCACTACTCCTTCCCTTTTCGTGATGCTCTAATATTCCCTACCATCTTTATTTCTACCTGACACGTTGGATACAAGCCATATGGCAGGAAAGGAAGTCATTTTATTAAACGTATTTCAGAAAATGGATCTTCTCTTAATACATTCCTACAAAGAAACATAGCAGTGGATTGCTACAGTGAACACCTAAAATAGGACAGGGCTTTGTGGAAGGAAGAAACTTAGTCAGAACAGAAATGACCAGAATATCCAGTCTTTACCTACTTGTCCAATACCAAGCCTCCTGATCCCACTTTTGTGCTAAACATCAAAAGGGAAAGTAAGAAAAAAATTAGTATAACAGGCTTGAGGATAGGAACATGGATCATGTGACTTCATGTAACCTTTTAAACCTGTAATCTTGGGTTTTCTTCCTTTAAATGGGGTCAAAGAGGATTGAAAGATGGTTCATAGGTAAAGGACACTAGCTGCTCTTCCGGGGAACCCAGTTCTGATACCTAGCACTCAGCTGCAACCATTTGTCAATACTGCTTCCAGGGAATCTGATTCCCTCTTCTGGTCTCCACAGGTACCATTCACATACATGTTCATGAAAAACATCAATACATAATTTTTTAAATAAAATGGGCTATAGGAGAATAAATATTGCCATCTGGTGGAAATGGTAAAATGCAGAACTGAAAAATCTTACAGAGTAAAGCATTTTCTGTTGTAGGACTCCATAAGGAAACAAGACAAGGTTGCTCTATCCCCAATCTACCTGTCATATGACATTCCTTGAAATACCTATGTCTATTCAACCCAGTTAGGCAGAGCACCAATCAACCACAGAAAGTCCAACTTTGTGAGTCAGTAATTGGGAGTGGGGTATGAAAGGAGCATGGATGATTCAAAGGCATCTGAACCAAAGAGTGCCTTGTTTAACTGACAGGCAGCTTTACAGCTGAAGAGTCCCTTCTCCATTCCCTGACCAAGCAACAACTTTCAGTTTGTATAACCTCGGGCATGTAGATGGTGACCTTTCTCACTTCTCTGAAGCAATCTTAGTACCCCCTCCCAAGGGTTATCCTAGCTGTGGTGAAACACCATGACCCTTGGGAGTGGGGTGATTTGAATGTTAATCTCCAAGAAGTGAAACTGGTTAGGAAGGTTTAAGAAGTATAGTTTTGTTGCAGTAACTATGGTCGTATTGGGGGGAAATGTGTCAGTATGGGTAAACTTTGGGGTTTCAAAAGCCCACACCAGGACCAGTGTATCTCTCTCTCTCTCTCTCTCTCTCTCTCTCTCTCTCTCTCTCTCTCTCTCTCTCTCTCTCTCTTTCTCCCTCTCTTTCTCTCGTTCCCAGTAGATCAGCATACAAAGCTCTCAGACACTTCTCCAGCACCATGTCTTCCGGCCTGCCACCACACTCCACACCATGATAATAATGAATTACCACTTAGAATGAGGAAGAAAGCCTTCAGTTAAGGGCTTCCTTTATAAGATTTGTCTTGATCGTGGTATCTTTTCATAGCAATAGAACACTAAGACAAGGAAGAAAGGCTTTATTGCCTTACATGTCCACTGAGGGTAAGCCAAGGTTTGCGGGGGGGGGGGGCAACAGGAAGTGGGAAGACTTAGGGAGCCTTAAAATATTTTGCCCTTAAGACTCCCCTTCAGGGTTCAATTAAGGATGCCACAGAGAGCTAAAGGGAGGCTAGAAATCTGAGGGTAAAGATTTGAGGGTTAAAAATCTTCTCAACAAAAATTCTCCATCCATATTTCTTTATTCTTCTTTCTCATGTCTAGCAATTCTTCCTTGCTTTCTCTTGTTCTTTGTTCTACCTGTCACAAATGTTCCCAGTCATGTATATGCTTTAAACAATCAGTTCCAGAGTCCCAGCAGACTCCAGGGCCAGAATTCTTTTGCCAATTAGAAAATCATTTAAGGGTTTGCACACATACACATAGATCCATGGGAGTGGCTAGTACATGGCAGGTGAACTCCTTGATGGAGAAAAGTAATTAAGAAAGAAATTAAATAATTAGGAAATTCTAGATGGGAAGGTTAGTGTGCTATATTACATGTTAAGTGGTTAGTAAAGGGCTAAAAGGTTTGTTTTCAATAAAATTACAAATAGGGCACGGATTATTTAAACCATCATGCCACTTCTTTTCTCTCAGTGTGCATAGAAAATAACAGGGAACTAGGCAACCTATGTAAACAGTAATGGAGAAGCTGATGGTTCTTAATCATATAGCACATATACCAGACCATGCAGTTTCTATCTATATTCCTAAGTCTGGAGTTTTGCTCTAGAAGATAGAAACAAAGAAGGGACCTAAGCCTCTAAATTTTCAGTTCTGGAGTATGATGTTATCAGCTCTCTGATCTTAGGGTAAAACCAGAGCAGCAGCTTGACCAGGTGGTAATTTTATGTCTTTGGAGATCTGTGACTATCTTAAATGGGATGCTCTTTGCCTGGACCCTAAACTCTTACCAAATGCTTGCTGATAAAGGTAATTGCAGGAAGGCAGATTTCTGCACTTACCTAGAGGAGAGGAACTGAGGCCTGGCGGTGAGAAACTGCTCCCACAAAATAGTTCTGAACTGAGGAATTAATTTCCAAATATGTAACAGAAAGAGTGTTAGTTACAGCAAAAAAATATATGCAGCAATGTACAGTCATTTTATTCACAAAACAATAATACCAAAAAGCATTGTCTTTTGTTTAGCCTTTAGCAGATACCTTGGTTCTGATAAGTTGCTTGTGAAAATTTGGCTGAGCAATTACTGTATAATTTTGCAACTTGTAGCAATAATTCTCCTCAAAACAACATAGTTAAGTCTGTCACAGCAATACCCCACTACAGGTATCAATTTTTGCCTTAGCTAGACCTACTATTTCTGTGAAGTAATATCATAACCAAAGTCAACTTGGGGAGGAAATGGATTTTTGGTTTACTATTCCTAAGACACAGTCCAGTGATGGAAACCAAGGAAGGAACTCAAACCAGACAAGAATATGGGGGCAGAATTTTATGCAAAGGCCATGAATAATTTTGCTTAGTGGTTGGTTCAGCCTGTCCAGAATGGGATACAAATTTTACATTAAAGGAAAAGTGCTGCAGGTGAAAAAGAAAAGATCAAGGGTGAGTTGGTAGGTCAGAGAAGCTAGAACCGGTAGCTTGTCATGAATCAGTGAGTATTTGGTGGACATAGAATGCTGAATCCATGGCTATTCTGCCTGGAAACTTACCTTTTTAAAAAGTATACTGGGAAAGAGGAACTATCTAATGGAATCATGCAATTGTACACAGATTAAAGTATAAATTATAATGTCTGAGTTATAAGTTATATAGGAATATTAAGAAGATGATCAGGTTTTACACTTAAACAGTCAGAGAACTGGTAGATCGCGCATGAAATTTCTTTTTTTTTATGAAATTTCTTTAAAAAAAAATAAGAAAGACATAGCCCTGAGGGCTGGGTATTGGTGTGACATGACCATTACAATGTTGAATCAATATTAGCAGTGCATCTACATGAAATACTCAGCGTGAGACTAGTTTTTTTTTTCTTTTTTTTCTTTTTTTTAATATTTATTTATTTATTTAGGTGTACAGCATTTCTTCCATGTGTGCCCGCAAGCCAGAAGGGGTGCCAGTTCTCATTACAGATGGCTGTGAGCCACCATGTGGTTGCTGGGAATTGAACTCAGGACCTCTGGAAGAGCAGGCAGTGCTCTCAACCTTACCTTGTAGCCTATTCTTTTTTTTTTATTTTATTGAGAATAAGAAAAAAAAAGTTTCCGCCTCCTCCCAGCCTCCCATTTCCCTCCCCCTCCCCCCACTCTTCTCCCCCTCCCCCCTCTCTCCTCCCCCTCCCCCCACTCCTCTCCCCCTCCCTCTCCTATCCAAAGAGCAGTCATGGTTCCCTGCCCTGTGGAAAGTCCAAGGTCCTCCCCCCTCCGTCCATGTCTAGGAAGGTGAACATCCAAACTGGCTAGGCTCCCACCAAGCCAGAACATGAAGTAGGATCAAAACCCCTTGCCATTGACCTTGGCTTCTCATCAGTCCTCATTGTTCGCCATGATCAGAGAGTCCGGTTTTATCCCATGCTGTTTCAGTCACAGTCCAGCTGGCTTTGGTGAGCTCCCAATAGATCAGCCCCACTGTCTCAGTGGGTGGGTGCACCCCCCGTGGTCCTGACATCCTTGCTCGTGTTCTCCCTCCATCTGGTTCTCATTGGGACCTTGGGAGCTCAGTCCAGTGCTCCAGTGTGGGTCTCTGTCTCTATCTCCATCCATCACCAGATGAAGGTTCTATGGTGATATGAAAGATATTCATCAGTAATGCTATAGGATAGGGTCAGTTCAGGTTCCCTATCCTCAGCTAAGGGGGGACAGGGAGAGTAAAGTAAGAAGGGGAGGATTGGGGGAACTTGGGGAAACAGGAAGATTGGGATAAAGTGAGACTAGTTTTGATGTCAACTTGAAACAAGTTAGAGTCAAATTAAATGAGGGAACCTAAACTGAGACACTGCCTCCATAAAATTGGGCTGTAGGCAACACTGTAGGGTATTTTCTTAACTAGAGACTGATGGTAGGTGGTACCAGCCATGGAATAGTGGTCCTGGGTACTAACAGAGAACAGACTCAGCTCCCTGCAGAATGCATTGGTCCTCCAAGCAGTCACTTCTTGATACCTTATACGACTTTGTGGCAACTGAGAATACAGGTATGCACTGAGTCTCACATCCTTGCCATAAGGGGCTGAGAACTGTCTGCTGGAGAGTGACCACATAGCATTCATGTGTGTGTATATGGTGTGTGTCGAAAATATGCCATCTAACAGGCATGAGCCCCCTTTTCAGAACACTGCCATGCTGTCCTGGCATTAATAATGTCATTAATAAGGCCATCACCTGTGAGAGAGTTTGTCTAAACGATTCTTTCTTGAACTTACCACCTCTCCTCTCAATATCTAAAATCTATTACATTCTAAATCACTACTCTGAAAACTCCAATACTACATTGTGTCTTGAATTTCATCATCATCATCATCAACAGCCCCTATTAAAAATCTTATTATGAGCATATATGTATTGTGCAAATTATTGGATTGTATTATGTTTTCATGTACACAAACCACATACCTTTCTCACATCCTTCACCAGTTCTAGTTTGCTTTCTGCTACTGTGATAAACTCCATGACCAGAAGCAGCATAGGGGAAGAAAGAGGTGGTTTCAGCTCCCACTTGCACATGACAGGCTCTCATTGAGGAAGTCAGGAACTCCAACAGGAACTGAAACAGAAGCCTTGACCAAAAACTGCTTCCTGGCTGGCTATTGTTCTCTCTGACTCTCTGCTAGCATTATTCTATTACTCAGACCTGTCAGTTGATCTAAAGTGCTCTCTCTCACTCTCTCTCTCTCTCTCTCTCTCTCTCTCTCTCTCTCTCTCTCTCTGTCTTTGTGTGTTTTCTTTCTCACTCTATGTCTATCTTTGTTTCTGTCATCCTCTGTGTCTCTGTCTCTCTCTCTCTCTCTCTCTCTTCTCTCCTTTCTGGCCTGAAGCTGGTGCATTTTGAAAGGGAGTGTTGAAATGCCTACAAGTGGGTATAAAGGAAAACAGGAATCCAGGAATCCACATGTTCCCACAATTCTACTGCAGGAGATGAAGAAGGAAAGTCAAGACTGTCTTGAAACAAGAAGTGAATTGGTGTTGTTGTGTCATCTTCATGATCATCTTCTCCCCAATTGGCCCGACAGCATCTTCCCATAGATAAGGAATCATTGTCCTGGACAACAAAAGCATTACAGCTACCCATGGAAAAGTGAATTCATTTGTTTCTGATGTAATCTGTAAAGACCACTGAGACTGGAACCCTGATGAGACAAGAGACTGAGAGACTTCAGTGATGCTTTCCTTTAAAAAAAAAAATGTGCCACTTTCAGACTGCTGAGTCTTTTTCCTAACTGTCCTGAACAGTGTGATCTGTTTGTATTGATTCTATGTCCTCCCCTGGCTGTGTACTTATTCTTGCCTCTCAGTCATGATACCAAATCTTCCTTTTACCAATAATGTTCTATCTCCCAAATTTTCTAGAGCAATCAGACCAACTACTACATCTGTAAGATATTTTTTTCACCACTTCATGAATACTGACTGTTGAATCATTGTCACAGTCTTCTTCCGTTACAGCATGACTTATTTACTGTTCTATTGCTGAAAAGAGACCCCACAACAAAGGCAACTCTTATTAAATAATGTATTTAGTTGGGACCTTGCTTACAGTTTACAGGGTTAGCCCATGACCACCATTTGTGACATGAGGAGAGGGTACCCGGGCTGCTTGAATGACATATGATATCAGTTCACACTGAAACTCCAAGACTGTTAATAAAGATTAATTTTGATAAGCGAGCATAGTTAGTGATTAGCTGATAAGAATTAGCCATAAAAGTTTTAGAGTACCCAGGATACATACAGAGAGACACAGGAAGTGGTAGGGAAGGGCTTAGAAAGATTTTCTGGATCAGGAAAGGAGAGAAGAGGGTCACTGGTTGCTTCATCACTGCTTCTTTGGTCAATCAGGTTTTTACCCAGATATTTGACTCCTGAGTTATTATTACTAATAACATATTTAGATAAACTATTCATCTGGCATCCGACACAAGACAGATTACGAGACAGCCTCTTGCAACTGGCTTTGCAGTTACTGGAGTCACCGGTTCACGGCTTGCTCCATCATTCAGGCGATCTTGGCACCCTCTCCTCATGCCATACAATTTCCTCCTGCCCCTTACCGTCCTATGTCTGCTTTTCAGAAGGCTGACTCTCTCTCCCTATGAGTTACAGACTTTCCCTGGATGCCCTTACTGGGTCAGCTCAACACCCAATTGCACACATTCATGCTTCTACTGCTGCTGTGCTGTGCACCCTCGGCCACTGTCTATACCAAGCAGCTTCAGTTGCCCTCAGCCCAGCCCATGCAGTACAGCAGCAGCGCGCTGAGACCCTCGAGCCTACCTTACTTAGTCTGACTGCCTTGACACCCCCCACCTCAATCAAGAACAACTCCTGAAGCTGGCTATCCTCCAACCACCCTGACCATACATAGCCATAGTAGCTGCTGTGGAAAAACTGAAAAGTCATCAGATCTAGTGAGAAATATTACAGATCTAGGGGAAATATTAAGAAAAAAACTTGGTTTTATATAAACAATATTTATATATTATATATTTGTTTGTTTATTGACATATTTACATATATTTGTATGCGTAGTATATTATATGTTATATATTATATACATGTTTTATATATGCCATATTATGTGTTTACTATACTATAATATTATATATAATAATTGTAATATGAATATTATGTATAATATATTTATCTCATATTAAGAATGGGGAATATTATAATGCAGGGAGTTAAGACTCTGTATGGTTCCATAATAGATAGTTGGAAATGGAAAAATTAAATGAAAGGATAACCAAATTAACTGGGTTTGACATATGACGATATAATTATTATCAATTTGGCAATTCATATTTTATCCTTAAAAAAGGGATTTGATAATTGTAAAAAATATGAGAAATGAACTGATAAGATACAAGCCTTAGAAAGACATACCAATGAAACTAAGAAAAGTATCCAGACACAGACAGAGGAATTTCAATCAGAACTTACCTCAGTATCACATGATGAAACTCAAGAGAAGCAGCCCAAGGTTTTGAGAAAACCAGCTTTAATTTTTCCAGTTACATTGACAGAATGACCACCAGATGGTAGGTTACACCCACATATAGGCACAAGTTAACCAGAATCCTGTAGAAATGTTATATTTGAGCAGGTTCAAGGAGGCAGTCATTCCATATGGTATGCCATCACCTCATGTAGAGCAGATGGTAAATTCATAGTCAATTTGAGACACAATTTTTCCAAGACTGGAAAGATTTAGCCATAGCTATATTGAATGTTAGTCCTCAGTTATCATGCAAAACATGGTGGAGAGAGTTAGGGTCATAGAAAAATGAAATAGGGCTAGAGGAATTGATATTTCCAAAGATCATCTTCTCAGTGAAGGCCAAAATACGGGTTTGCAAAGACAGTTTTGATTTGATGATCACACCTCAGCTCTGTGTTCTATAGCAGCTTTTAATGCTTGTGACAGGGTTGAAGAATCAGGAAAGAGGACTGAGTTACTTACTTAAATTATTCAAGGCCAAAAAGGAACCTTCACGGATTTTTTTCAAGGATTGACTTCAACTGTAAATAGAAAAATATCAGATTCAAAAGTTAGACAAATATCAATGGAATCCTTGATGTTTAAAAATGCTAATTCAAAATGTTTCTATGAACATAGTTGAGCACATGTCCTTGTGGTATGATTGAGCATCCTTAGTGCATATACACAAATTAGTATTGCTAAGTCTTGAGGTAAGGTTTTTTCTAATTTTCTGAGAAATCATCATACTGATATCTATATGAGCTGTACCAGTTTGCCCTCAAACCAGCAATAGAGGAGTGTTTCCTTTATCCAACATCCTCTCCAGCATAAGTTGTCATCAGTGTTTTTGATCTTAGCCATTCTGACAGGTGTAAGATGGAATCTCAGAGTTATTATGATTTACATTTCTCTGTTGGCTAAGGATATTGAAAGCATTTCTTTAGGTGTGTTTCAGTCATTTTAGATTCATCAGTTGAGAGTTCTCTGTTTAAATCTGTACTCTATTTTTTGTTGGTTTATTTGTTCTTTTGACAACCAATTTTTCTTAAGTTCTTTGTGTATTTTGGAGATCAGTCCTCTGTCTGATGTGGGATTGGTGAAGATCTTTTCCCATTGTGTAGGCTGCTGATTTTTCTTGTTGACTATGACCTTTGTTTTACAGAAGCTTCTCAGTTACAGAAGGTCCCATTTATTAATTATTTCACTCAGTGTTTGTGCTACTGGGGTTATATTTAGGATGTGGTCTCCTGTGCCAATGTGTTCAAGTGTTTAGTAGTGTTTCTTTTAGATATGAGGGCGCCCTTGTATTTGGGGCATGGATGTTCAGTATTGAGATTTCATCTTGATGGATTTTTCCTGTGACTAATATGAAGTTCCATTTTTTTGTCTCTTTTGATTAATTTTAGTATTAAGTCTATTTTGTTAGATATTGGAATAGCTACACTGGTTTCTTTCCAATTGATTGGAATTTTTTTTCTTGACCCTTCACCCTGAGGCAACGTCTACCTTTGAGGTTAATGTGTGTTTCTTGTATGCAGCAGAAGGATGGATTCTGTTTTCCTATCCAATCTGTTAGCCTGTATCTTTTTATATGTGAGTTGAGACCATTTATATTAAGGGATATTAATGACCAGTTATTGCTGGTAGCTGTTATTGTAGTTTTCATCATTGGTGATGTTATCGTGTATGTTTTTCTCTTCTTTGTGATTTGTTGCTGTGAGATCATCTATTGTCTGTGTCTTTGTGGATGTAGCTAAATTTCTCGGGTTGTAGTTTTCCTTCCAGCACTTTGTGAAAGTCCGGGTTTGTGGCTAGGTACTGGCTAAATCTAGTTCTGTTGTGGACTATCTTGTTTTGTCCATCTATAGTGACTGAAAGTTTTGCTGGGTTTAGTAGTCTGGGCTGACATCAGTGGTCTCATAGTGTCTGCATAATGCTTGACCAGAGCCTTCTGGCTTTCATTATTTCAGTTGAGATCTAAGGTGTAATTGTGGTTGCCTGCCTTTATATGTTACTTGGCCTTTTCCTTTGCAGCTTTCAATATTCTTTCTATATTCTATATGTTTAGTGTCTTGATTATTCTGTGGTAAGGAGACATTTTTTTTATCCAGTCTATTTGGTATTCTGTAAGCTTCTTCTTTCTTCATATGCATATCATTCTTTAGGTTGGTAAAGTTTTTTTCTATGATTTTGTTGTATATATTGGCTGTGCCTTTGAATTGGACTGATGTGGGATTCCCCTCTGTGTTCTGTGAATACCATTGGTTAATAAAGAAACTGGTGAAATTCCACAGGTATGGGACTGAACCAGCTACCTAGGCCAAAGTGGGCCTGAGAAAGCAAGCTCAAGGGAGCAGCAGCTGATTCCATACAGGGACATTTGCAAACAGGGACTGAGCCAGCAACCTGGGCCAGAACAGATCTGAGACAGTGAACTCCATAGGAACTGGTACAGAGGAGCAACCACAGAGCAAATGAGCCAGAGACAGAGACCTCTGATGGTCCAGACATGAATTAGAGACCTTCAAAGGAATAGACCTAAGCCAGGACCTCTGTGGGTCTGGGCATGAATCTGGGATCTCCAAATGAGTACGCAGGAACCAGAGATCTCTGTGGGTCCAGGTGTGAGTCTGGGACCTCAGAGAAAGTAGGCCTGAGCCAGGGACTTTGTGAGTCCAGGCATTGGCCTGGAACATCAAAGGGAATAGGCAGGAACAAGAAATCTCTGTGGGTCCAAGCATGACTCTGGGACCTCTGAGGGAGTAAGACAGATCCAGGTCCTCTGTGGGTTTGGGCAGAGCCGAGCCTGAGAACTATGGGGGACTAGACCGGAGCCAGAATCCTTTACAGGATCAACCCCAAGCAAGAGACCTCTGCAGGAACGGATCCAGATAGGGACATTTTAAAAATTAGGTCTGAGCTGACAACCTAGGCTAGAGCAGGCCTGAGACAGCAAACTCCAAAGGAGTAGAACAAAGTCCAGGAGCACTGAGTATCCTCCAGGAATACTAAGTGACTTACAGGACAACTAGAACCGTGGCACTGACTGTTCCAGGAGGAACAACCATTTGAGCCTTGGATTCACTGGCACCTAGAACATTAATCAACATAATCACAGATAGCCCCAACTACACCTATTAGAAGAAAAAAATGAGTAGAAAAGGTAAGAACACATGCAACATCACAAAGAGCAACACAACACCAATAAAACCTAAAGACCCTAAACAGCAAGACTTGAACAACCAAATATAGATGAAGCACAAAAAATGACCTAAAAATATGGCTTCATGAGAATGATTGAAACTCTAAAGGGGAAATGAGAAATTCCTTCAAAGAAATTGAAGAAAAGACAAACAAAAAATTGGAAGACAACAGCAACCTAAATGCCCCTCGACCAAAGAATGGACAAGAAAAATGTGGTACATTTACACAATGGAGTGCTACACAGCAGAAGAAAATAACGACATCTTGAATTTTTACAGACAAATGAATGGAGCTAGAAAACATCATTGTGGGTGAGGTAACCCAGACCCAGAAAGACAATTATCACATGTACTTACTCGTGAGTTCTTTTTAAACATAAAGCAAAGAACACCAGCCCATAAATCACAATCCCAGAGAACCTAGACAACAATGAGGACCCTAAGAGAGACATACATAGATCTAATCTACATGGGTAGTAGAAAAATACAAGACCTCCTGAGTAAATTGGGAGCATGGGACCTTGGAGAGGGTTGAAGAGGAGGGAAGAGTCAGGGAGAGGAGCAGAAAAAAATGTAGGGCTCAATAAAAATCACTAAAAAATAAAAATAGAAGTAGACATGGAAAAAAAGAATATTTTTATTGCAAACACAAATATTCTTTTTAATGATACAATGAAACAGAGATCCTAAAACCTGCACTTTAGTGATACTAGTTTTGTCTTGTAGTATTACGATAGGTCCACCAAGCAAGATGTTAAAATATCAAATTATAACTTTACTTACAATAAAAATATTTTATTAATTTAAAAATTACCTCATGTAGTGGGATCCTAGCCAGTTTGGACGTTCACCTTCCTAGACATGGACGGAGGGGGGAGGACCTTGGACTTTCCCCAGGGCAGGGAACCCTGACTGCTCTTTGGATTGGAGAGGGAGGGGGAGAGGAGGGGGGGGAGGGGAGAAAGGTGGGAGGAGGGGGAGGGAAATGGGAGGCTGGACGGAGGCGGAAACTTTTTTTTTTCCTTTTCTCAATAAAAAGAAAGAAAAAAAAGAAAATAAAAATTACCTCATGTAATACAGACAAAATACATATCAATATAGACAATATATATGACTTTATACAGACAAAAGCCCAGAAATCTTATAAAGTGAGCTCTACTCACAGACTGATTTTAATTTTATCTTTCAAATTCACCTCTTAAGTTTGCCAAGCAGAAAGCATTTTAGAAATTAAATTCCTTCCATTTATTTTCCTGAGATAGAATATTTTGGTCCTCTGAAACATGGACTTAGAGAAAAGGATTTGTTTTGCCTGATATTTCCAGGGGATAGAGTTTGTTATAATAGTGAAGGCATTGCACCAGGCGAATGAGACTCACCCACTGGGCAATGGGAAGGCAGTCAGACCATACATCATCTTCACACAGGAAGCTGAGAGAGAAAATGGGAAGTGGGGTCAAGTTCAATTTCTACAAATCCACCTCAGTGACTTATTTCTTCTAGCAAGTGTCCGTCACTTAAACGACTCAAAGCATTCATACAGACACACTCACATACTCACACACAGAGATAGAGAGACAGAGGCAGGGGGGTCAATCAGGTATGCCAAGAATAGCAATTTTAACAATATTTTCAAGCCTCATCACTGCTCAGGCTAAGTTCTGGGTCTTTTAAAGAAAGACAAGTTTTCTGCTTGACTCACACTTTTAAGAGGATAAATTTGCAATTAGGAGTTGCTTAGAGTTACGAAAATACAACCAAATGGTGTAACTATAGAACTAGCAAGTTACAGATCTAAATCAAAGCTACAAAAATCATATTTTACAACAAAGAATCCACCTTCAGTGACAGCTATGTGCATCTATGGACTGTTTACAGCTACTTGGGTTTTTATATCCTGTACATAGTACCAAAGTAGTTCATATGCAAGTGCAAATTATAATTACCAAATGAAACCCAAATTCTTCTCAGCGCCTTTTGTAACTGTCATTTGAAGGGAAAAGCCACAACTTCAAAGGTCTATCTAGTTAAGCTTGCAACAGGGCAGGGCTGAGAGCTCTGACCATTAGGGTTAGATCCTGCTCCAACTGGAAGGAGTGGCTAAGCCCTCTGAGGGAGGGTTGGACCTATAAGGGCGGGGTGTCCGTGTTCTCTAGTTTTAGGGCCTCCAAGGAATGTGGAGGGGTGTGATCGGAAGTGGATTGGAGTAGATTATTTGAGAGTCCTATAAGGCTAGTAGATTATTTGAAGAGTCCAGTTGGATACCAACCATGCTTGCTGCCGTGGGCTCCCTGGTGGCTGCCATCTGGGCAGGGCTCCATCTCTGGACTCTCTTGCTGGCTCTTGTCACCTTTCTGTTTCTTAGAGACTATTTCAAAAGCCGGCGCACCAAGAACTACCCGCCAGGGCCACCACGCCTGCCCTTCATAGGCAACTTACTGCAATTTAGCATGGAGCAGCAGCACCTGGTGGTCCAGCAGGTAGGAAGATACAAGATTGTCTGGCTGTGAGCTGACCTAATCCTGAGCTGGTGGATCTGTGACTTCTGAGAACTAGGGATCCAGGGCAGGCAGGCAGGGCTACAAAGTTCATGTTCCTGGTGGCTAAGCCCAGGACACATAGTTAGCTTCTAAACACGCACTTTTCAGAAATATGCAGCTAAGCAGGGCAGTTGTGGGGGATCTCTCTGAGTTTTAAGCCAGCTTGGTCTACAGCACAAGTTCCAGGACAGCTATGACTATACAGGGAAGCCCTGTCTTAAGAGAGGAAGGGAGGGCCAGAGGGTGGGAGAGAGGGAGGGAGGTAGGGAGGAAGGGAGGGAGGGAGGCAGAGAGAGAGAGAAAGAGAGAGAGAGAGAGAGAGAGAGAGAGAGAGAGAGAGAGAGAGAGAGAGAGAGAGAGAAACAAAAAAAAATGGAGAATTTCTTATCCTTCTATAATATACTTCCTAGGTGATGGTTCCATTTAGATTAGAAAAAACACTGTTTGATTTGAATTCTTTAAATACGTCCAGGTATGTGTGATGATTTAATAGTAAATGAAGATAGAGACAGATATGTCCTGCTGCTTTAAGAAGTGAGTGTACTTTTGCTTTACAGAAGCTTCTCAGTTTTAGAAGGTCCCATTTATTCCATGTTGGCCTTAATGTCTGTGCTGCTGGGGTTATACTTAGGAAGTGGTCTCCTGTGCCGATGTGTTGTAGAGAACTTCCCACTTTCTCTTCTATCAGGTTCAGTGTGTTCAGACTGATATTGAGGTCTTTAATCCATTTGGACTTGAGTTTTGTGCATACTGATAGATATGGATCTATTTTCATTCTTCTACAGGTTGACATCCAGTTGTGCCAGCACCATTTGTTGAAGATGCTTTCTTTCTTCCATTGTATAATTTTAGCTCCTTTATCGAAAATCAGGTGTTCATAGGTTTGTTGGTTAAAATCCGGGTCTTCTATTCGATTCCTTGGTCAACTTCTCTGTTGTTGTTGTTGTTTTTGTTTTTTTGTTTGTTTGGTTTTTGTCTTTTTTCCGAGACAGGGTTTCTCTGTAGCTTTGGTGCCTGTCCCAGAACTAGATCTTGTAGACCAGGCTGGCCTCGAACTCCCAGAGATCTGCCTGCCTCTGCCTCCCTAGTGCTGGGATTAAAGGCGTGCGCCACCACCGCCCGGCGACTTCTCTGTTTTTTTGCCAATACCAAGTTGTTTTCAATACTGTAGCTCTGTAATAGAGTTTGAAGTCAGGGATGGTAATGCCTCCAAAAGTTCCTTTATTGTATAAGATTGTTTTGGCTATCCTGGGGTTTGGATGCTCACCTTCCTAGACCTGGATGGGGGGGGGGAGGACCTTGGACTTCCCACAGGGCAGGGAACCCTGACTGATCTTTGGACTGGAGAAAAAGGGGAGGGGAGTCGAGGGAGGGGGCAGGGAGGAGGCAGAAATTATTAATTTAAAAAAAAAAAGAAGAAGAAAAGAAGTGAGTGTAAAGTCCAGGTCTCAGCTTAGTTGATTTAAGTGCTTCACAGGGAAATAAATAAATAAATAAATAAATGAATAAAACTGGAGTCAAGGTGTGTGTGTGTGTGTGTGTGTGTGTGTGTGTGTTCTACTCCTCTTGACTGAAGATTGGTTTAGCTGTTAGCTCTCTCTTACTGAGCCTTAGTTTTTATACATCCTTGCTGACTGCTCCCTTACTGATGATATCACTTACTAAGAAAGCCACAAGCAAGTGTCCAGGTCCCCTGGGAGAGTTTCTCCACTCTCCATGCAATTCTGGAAGCTCTCCCCGATTAAATTGGGAAGTTTGTTCTGTGTAAACAGTGACATTTAAGATTGGCAGGCACCATTTGAAGACTTAACCATGTGACTTTATAATGTCCCTCCTTATCCAGAGGAAATTTTGTTTTGCTTGAATTTTCTCTAATCTCTTACATGTTGCAACCTCCCCTTTGGTCAGTATGTGAAAGGCGTTTGCTTTTCAGTTCTTTTATTTTTACCTACATATAACACTAGAATTGCATTCATCTGGACTGCATATATTTGAGCAATTTTATATTATTCAATTTTCATCATTAATTGGGAGAGATAAAATATTTCTCTTTACAATTTACATGTAAGCATTGAAACTCAATGTTTTATTGTTTTGTGGTGTCTATTTGCTCTGTTTTCATTCTTTCATTTTGGTTTCCTATCCTGCCACACAGGTTTCTAGGACACTCTCTGAGTGGATGCCTTTTTATTCATCTTCTCTCTTTACATCTCTACTATTGTCCTCCCAGCATCTGCTCTGCGTTATTCAATACACATACACAACTCATGAGAGTTTGCTAACAGCATTTTCCATGTGAAGCGCAGCGACTCCAAACATGGGGGAGCCCTCTCCCCTGTATCCCTGTATGATGCACTGCCCCAGGTGCTGTCCCCACTCACTGAGACCCACATCCCACACTGCCCTGCTCTGCACTGTCAGTGCAGCTGGGACTCGAAGGCACAGGAGTCTGTTGTCTTTGCCCCTTACTCATCCTCCCATAGCTGTCTTTTCTCTGACCTTTCAAGTTCATCATTTCCTTTCTGACCTCAAGCACATTCTTCTTCCAACCCTCAGAGGAGACTGTAGCAGAAGGAAACCTCTTAGCTGTTCCCCTCCTCAGAATGCTTTTCCCCTGCCTCCCACACTGTCTTTCCCCTGGGTATATATAACTAGGTTGATAATCAAAGGGACTCACATTTTTTAGATATTCTCCTACTCCTTGCTGGACTTTGTCGTTTCCCTATAACTATTAAAGTTTTTTGTTATGATTTTTCTTTGTTTGTTTGCTTGCTTTGTTGATTTGTCTCTCTGCTTTCAAGAGATTCAGTTTCCAAATTGATTGTGGTGGTTTTGTATTATTTGGGCTTCATGCTGTTGGAATCTACATGGCAGGCTTGCATTTTGCCAGACTAGGAAGTTTCCACCATTTTCCACGTGTTTTCTCATCTACACATTCCTGTTTTCAGGACATTGGTGCACAGCCATGACATCTATGGTGCTGGGTCTTGCTGTTTGCCATGGGCTTTCTCTGTGCTGTGCATGGGAGAGCTGCCTCTCCCCTCTGCACTGCTTCTCTGCCAAGCTCTGCTGTGCAGATCTCCACAGAGGCCATGGCAGCTTTCTGTCCTCAAATCGATGCCTATTCTTCTTATCTCTCTTTTCTCTGTTAAGATGTCCCACTATTTGGAATAATTTTATAATAGCCACTCTGAAATACTTATTTCTTCTTCTCTTTCCAACATCTGTGCCATCTCAACAAAGCTGAGGTTCTCTTGGGTCTTAGTGAATGAACTAAGCAATGTCAGACTGGACATTGTGTGTCGTGTGCTGTAAACTGATGCACACACTAGGGGCATGCTCTACTTGTCCAGGTAGCTTTAAGGCTCCAGGGCCTCACTTTTGTGAGTGGCAACTCAAATGGAAATTTCAGAGTTTGCATTGAGAATCAGAATAATCCCAGTGTGTGCTTGGCACATTTGCCTCCTTAATCTTAGCAGCATGAGCAAGAGGGAAGATGGCTGTAAACTGAAGGGCCTCATCAGTATAGTGCAGCTGCAACTCACTACAGGAGGATGAACACCAGTGATCTTTCCATAATTGTCCCATAGGGAAGAGTGTCCTTATTGCTGGAATAGAAGGGTGGGAAGCAGAATTCTTTCCCAGGCTTCTTTGGAGATTCTCTTCACAGCGGTTCATCTGTAGAAGTCACAGTTCACCTCACAGGCTCAGCCCAAGAGACACATGGCAAGTGACAAGATGTCATAGATGAACACCCCCACTGTAACCCTTTGTAGGGTCCCCTTTGATGGTATTAGACTCTGGGACATAGAAGCAAACAGTTAAAACAATCTCAGGCCTGATGAGACTCATTTTTCTTGTTCTTTGACAAAATGGAGTAAACTTTGGTGGGAGGTATGCTTCTGGCAAATGCTATCATAAATAACAAATAAACTTCTTGTTATTTAATCTTCTCAGAGTTAAAATATTTGATCTATGTCTTGCTACACAGTCATATGAGGTTGGCTAATACATCTGGTGTCACAGAATTAGGTCATGGTGACACTGAGGCTGGAAGCATCATGCCAGTTCAATAATTTTCCAATTTTTATTTTGTATTTCCTATGGGTTTACATTTTGATATCTGTGTATAATCAAATGACTTTAAATAAATATTAAATTAAAAATAAATATATACAACTAGGTATAAATAAATTTTAATTCTTGCTATGAGTAAATAATTCCCACAAGCTGATTCCTGGCTTTCCCTTTGGGGTTTGTGCCCCCTTCATTCACCCTCCATGACAAGCACACATGGAGTCACATTAGCAATCATCTGTTAGCATTCCATTTTCCACTGTCGAGGAAAGGGGGAATCTGATTTCCCCAGGTTCTCGGTGGGATAACGGCAAAACAATTTCATGAACATGCATGATTTGACTCAATACAAACGCTCAATACATATATCCTATTGAATAAAATGCCTTTAATTACTA